ATTTTTCTCTTTTTTCTTTTCAATCGCACATTGTTCAATAAAATAATATTAGACGCAAATTCAAAATCTTTCCTTATTTTTTAATCACACATTTTCCATCAATCTACTATTCCAAAATGCATTCTTACCATAAAATAGGGTTCAAACAAGCTCTAAATTCAATTAAAGAAGAAAGAAACTTACCCTTGTTTGACAACCATTAAAACAACTCTTTTTTTCTCAATCTCATTTTTAACCATGCACCTCACAATAAAATATTTTATGTGTAAATTCAAAACTTTCTCTATTTTTAACTATACATTATTTTAAAATTTATTTTTCCTTAAAAAAAACTCATTTTAATGGTCGTATATTGTCTATTACATGATTTATAATTTTTTCTATAACATTTTTTTTTTCAAATAATGTTTTATAATATCAAAGTTAACACTTGGCATATGGGATGTAAACCTAGGTACAAAACCAATGGCCTTTGACCATTATTTTAAGAAGCCTCGACGTGTTCATTGATTCTATGAGTTCAACGTGATCAAAATGTCAATTTTTTTATGGGAATTCTGTGCATTTCATCCCTAACCTTTGGAGACTCTTTCTAATCCATCCCCAACTTAAATGGTCTTTGCGATTGAGATGTTAAATCACCACGTACATTATCCTAACATGACATAATTTCCCAAGAGCAAATTTGACATCGGACAGAATAGCGATTATTCTGTAAGCTGAAATTCAACAGATAATTAATAGAGAAGAATGCAAGAGAAAACGCCAAGAAAACAAGAAAATTCTTTATTATTTATCCAACATTCGAAAATAGCTCACAAGCCGGGTTATATAGCTGAAAAACCATAATAATTATAAGAATTTTACCAATTATAACAAAAATTCAACATTCATACCAAAAGAAAGTACTTAATAAAATAAACAATATCCCAAAAATCTAGCTTAATTCGAGTTTGTAATCTATGTTTAAAAGTCAAACGAAATATTACCAAAAATGGAAAAAAATAACTAAAATTGGGATTCGAAATGAAAAATAGTGAATTTTGCCCTAGAAACTGATGCGCACCGAGCGAAGCTGGGTGATCACGACTTGCGCGCCGAAAAGAGCTGTTCGAGGGGTCATGAGGGCTGTTCTGATAACCGTAGCCAAAGTTATGGCCAAAATATTAAAACGTGTCCAAAATGACCCCAATTAGGAAAGATCGTCAATTACTTGCCATTTTTATTCTGAGCCGCCAACTCATGGTATCTCAGCGTCATTAACGAGTTATTGGACAACTTGGCTTCGTCTGACTCGGATGCTCCAGCATCAAAATTAGTTGTATCCTCTCTTATATAATTTCCACACAAAATTGGAGCAATGTATTTGTATTGCTAACCTAACTCATCCCTAATATTTAAATAAGTTAGCATAAATGGTCCCAACCTTTTAAACTGATCATATTTTAATACATAGTCGTTTATACACAATGATTTTGATTTTCTGTATACTAATATTTCCTATACCTCCAGAAAGGTGAAACTTGAAACTGTAAAACTAACTCGTTTGAGACTAAATTGATACAAAAAAAAATTAACTTTAAAAATCGTAACTCACACAATATACCATACAACAAATCGACAACTAGCAATTTTAATTCAAAAGCACAAGCCATAACGTCTCATTCGAAGAAGACAGAGTGGTGCAGAAGGATTTTGAGATTTCGTAGAATATAATCTGTCATTGGGAGAAATTTTCCCATCTGGTGACATGGGGTGTGACTGTTTTGCCCTTGGAAATTGATGCCATGTGCAATCCACATTGTGGTCTCGCACCTCAATTGACGGAAATTGTTAAAAAGGACTAATTGTGCATAGGGCAGCCACGAGCCGAAATTCAAGCATAAATGGTTCGGGTTTTTTTTTTTTTGTCCGAGCCGAGCAAAAGTTAGACAAAAAAATTGATGCTCGACCTGAGCTTTCGGCTAGTGTCTTAGCGAGGTGGCTCGTTCTTATTATTATTATTATTATTACTGCAGGCCGCAGTGTTAACAGGCAGCTATTTCTATTTTACTTTTTTAATTTTTTTTTTTTTTTGAAACTCGGCTTGTCAGGGCCAAAAATGGCCTGTGACATGGGCATGTCCGTGTGGTTCACTCTGCCTGAGACACGAGCCGACGAGCCACCTTGACATGCCTAATTGTGCAAAAGTCACTAAAGGTTGGGGATGGTTTGGTAAGAGTCTCCGAAGGTTGGGGATGAAAATTTCCCATTTCTAATCTATGGATAATTAATGCGGATTTTTTTCGTTTAAATTATTAATATGGAATTTTATTATATTTCGCTTTGGAGAAATGCACTATAGTCTTGGGGGTTAATTACCCCATTAGTCACTGAACTTTACCGAAGGTATTCAGCAGGTCACTAAACTTCAAAAGTTACAATGCTAGTCCCCGAACTTACC